TGCTTAAAATATGATATCGTTAAAATTTATCGTCGTGGGCGGTGGGCTGCAATCGTAAAATAAATAGAGCATTTACAAACAATATACAATGGATATTAAATTATATAATAGACAGTGCAGGCGGAAAACTGTACATATTATGTATTATATATTCCTGGTAATCGCAAATAAATATATTTTTCTATTTGCATATGTCGTTATAAATAATTAACAAAATAAACTAGTACACTCCATAAACAAAAATACAAACGTAGTTGTAAAAGTACTTGATGATAATTTCAATGTAAGTAATTTATTTATAGTAAAATAATTGCATAATTGTAATAAGCAATCTTTATGAGCTGATTTATAGTTTCAATAGGTTTGACTTCTTAGAAAGTATAAAAAAAATATAATTACTTTTCATTTAATTACATTTCAAATACAAATAGAAATATCATTATTCCAAACTTTATATAACGAATGAATGAATGAAAAATATATTTTTAATATACTATAAATCCAAGAGGATTTATTTGACAATTTAACAGAAAAAATAAATTAAAGTCTGTATGATAAATTACTGGATAAAACTATTTTTTAAATCAACGTAAATCTATATTATATAGATTATTATTAACTTATTTAGACTAATCTTTTTTTTCTAAGAAAAGGGACTTACTTCATCGTCGGACATAAATAAAATAAAATATATACAATGGTAAAAGCAGAAGTTACTTAATCATATAATGGAAGACAAACTTAATAAATAAAAAATATATACTTCTTTTTATAATATAAATGCATTTTTTTTCAATTTTACTGGAGTAAAGTTTGCTTTAAATTAAAGAATATATTAGGTTGTAGAAAATTATTAAAAGTATAAAGATGAAAATAATATAAATATGTCAAAAGATAAATGTCACAAGATCGAGAACAAAAATGATTTTATACCGATCGATAACACCTATACATTTCTAAAATATAATATATATATATTTTTTTTTTTTTTGTAATGACAAAATAACAAATACGTGATGGTAATATGTGATGGTGATGTATTATATTATTATGCATAATTTGTCAAAACTACGTATATTTAAGATTAGAAAAATTAAATAAATGTATGTAAAACAAATATTAAAATTTAAAATATCTATAATCTATAATATAGTATAATCATAGAAAAAAATATAATATCTATTCACAGTAAGTCTTCACTGAATATCATTTAAATGACAGAACTGCATACCTAATAAAACTGATCTAAAATCAAAGTTTTTGACAACTCCCGAGGCGAAAATCGAAGGAGAAAAAATTCTGTACATCAAATATATAATATAGTATATTATATTTCTAAAATAAAAAATCAATACTATTCTCAACTAGTTTTTAAAAGTCTAATAGAAACAGTATTTATACAATATTATACTTTCCATTCGCATAGTCATCGTAAAAACTGATATTATGAATTATAAGTAAAACCGTTTTTTTTTTACTCGCATTGGTAAAGGTACTCAAGATTCAATTAAAAGTTTCGACATAATGTAATTACCATAAATGGCGATAAATAGTTATCATTAATAATTTTAAAAGAAACTTATTAAAATAAATGTTACAAGAATATAGTTGTAGGTGTGGTTGGTTAAGTTAGCGATAAAGATTATATTTCATTTCAGAGTTTGATGATGACTCAACTGTAGCGCTACGAAACGCATAGTTCATAACAATATTATGTAGCTATAATAATGTATTAATATCTTTCTTGCTCTTAGTATAATATACCTAATTTACCTTGCTACGTAGTCATAATAATTTATCCTCCATTAGTCATTTCACATACATCTACTTATTTTGTAAAACGTTTAGTAAAACACATGATATCACATTAGAAATTTGACACTATTGTATAATAAAATATTTACTGCATATAGCGCGATAAGAAGCCGTGCCCACAGTATTTATTTCATTGATAATAATATTAAATTAAACTTATCTTATATTAGTATATAATGCAATGGATACATTTTTTATTAAACAAACGTATTTATTTAGTTGTCATCAAGATAAAACATTTTTAGAACGTTTAAAATATTACAAGTTTAAGATATCGTGAACTTATTAAATGTTATTATGTTGTTTAACTGAATGCTTTGTTAGTTTACATAATTTAATAGTATTAATACATCATAGCCAGATTTTATTGTATGCTATTCAAATGCGTTTTTCATTCAAAATAAATACAACTAGAAAATATTTAATTAAATATATTGATCGCACAAATATAAATTAATTTCAATTCGTCGATATTTTAAATTCAGTAAGGGAAACCATAAAGATAATGCAATTGGCACTTAAGGTTTTTTCCTATAACACTTCATATTGGTACAAAATAGTTTAAAAGATTCACGTAACTACTATAATAATGTTATTATAACACTTGAAAACTGAACATACGTAGTACTTAAGAACTATATTATCAATATTCCCAGTAGTTCTCGAGAAAATTGCTATAAACCAATAACAGTTATTAGATAGACTATAATCTCTTTGTTCCAAAAATATAATACCTATAATAAATAATATGGTGACGTCTAAATCAATAAGAAATTGTATAGAATTTACTTCATTGAACAGCAAATCTAAAATGTCAGAAATTGACAAAATTATATAATTTGGGTTAACAACTACTTAAATAATACGTCTAGACTTAATAATAAAAATAATATATTTATAATTATAAAATATAATTATAATATCACATAAATATTAGGTAATTCGCCAAACATGAAGCTAACCGCTAAATTTTCGATTTATAATTTGTAAAAAATATCAAAGTATAATAAGTATAAGTACCAAATTAAATATTGAATCTATTTTACATTCTTACATTTTAGTAGAACCATTTTAGAAACTGTTATCTTTTTTATTTATATTTTAATTAATTTGAAACTAGCAGTTCGAACTTTGATTTAGATAACATTTATATTAATATTTTCAAAAAACAAATTAAATTTAAAAAAAAAGTTCAGTAAAAATCGTTGGTTCTTTTAAGAAAGAAAAACAACATTTTTTCACTACAGGACACTTTTTAAATGGTATAAACATGTAAATATTTAAAAATAAGGAAATATACCTGAGAATTTAAAAAAATAGAATTTTAAAATATTCATTATTAAATGATAAAATTATGTGCTATACTTGGTGAATAACCTTGTATTTTGTGTATTTATACCTTGTTGGTTTTATATGATACAAAAGAAACAACTGAAGTTAAAATGATTTTTAGAGTGATGATTATTTATAGGAAATGATAAATGATAACTATGCAAATCTACATAACCTGCGTTCACCTATTTTATGTACATTATGATCAACAATGAGGCGTATTCCTCTTAAAATCAAAAAATATTTATTTCATTATATATTATTCAGAAACTATTAGATGTTTATTCAATAAATGTGTGTCATTATTTGTTTAAAACAAATAATCATTTAAACTAAATTAAACTGTTGATGATTGTAATTGCTGCTATTATAAGTCGTTCTAACGTCTGCAAGTATAAACTATGAAATTGTCTAAATTTTTTTAATTTTTTTTCTTAATGACCAGGAGAAAAATGAAATCATAAATAAATTAAATAAAAAATAAAATACAACTATCAAAAATGTTTAGTTTTAATAAGCCTCGGGCTCTATCAATAATCGTTGAATAAATGTAATTAAAGTACAATAAAAGTTTTGTCCAATATGGCAGATAAATATATATATTGTTGTTATATACTCTTATACATATACCTAGTTAAAACTCTAATCCTCAGAATTAAACGCATATAATCTAAAGTGAATAAATATGTTTATTTTTAAATCCCTAGAGCTCTGCTAAAAGGATTGGTTACGATGGAGGAAATAAAATAATGTCTCTAAGTTCACGTTCAGACGTTATATGTATAATCATATTAAATAGTATTTTAATTCAATTTTAAATCAAACCTTTGCGAAAACGTAAAAAAAAAAGTTTTTAAGATCTAGTAGCTTTATTACATACCTACTCAAAGTATAAAATACTCAACGGAAACTTGACTTTAGTCGATTTGACTCAAAATTATAATAAATGCAGTTAGCTATTTTGAAAATAAATAGAGACATCATATTATAAACATATAGTTGAGGCTTTTATTTGATTTATTTCATACTGGTTTTCTGTAGCTAGCAATTATTTTCCTCGTTTTAATCTCTATTACCAAATGCAAAGTGATAAAATTTGTTATTTTTTGTAGTGATTTTAATGACAAATGACATGGTATGAAAGAATTTTCTTTAGATTAATATTTTAACTTTATAGTTTTAGCATTATTTATAATAATTACTTTGAAATTATAATTTGAAAAATTTACTAACAAACATCATATATTTTATAGCTAATTATCATAAATTTCAGGATTTTCAGAAAACATAATAACTTAAAAAATTAACTTTTATTAAAAACTTATAAGTATGATAAAATTAAATATTTTAAGTTTATGAGCAATTATAACGTGATATATACACTATAATCACATTTTTAGGCAATAATCAGCAATAAACATAAATATAAAAATATAACAAACTAAAAAAGGTATAATGCATTTGAATAATTTGAATAGCAAAATAAAATATAATGTCAACTCCGAAAAGAATTGTTTTTTTTTACGCCACGTAAATGTTTAGATTTTTACTGTCATTTTAAGACCAATTTAGTACATAAAAATAAAATTACTCGGAATAAAATTTCAATTTTTCGTATTCGTAAAAAAAAAAGGTATTCAATTGAAACGAAATACATATTAAGCGTCACATACACGGTCCCTAAGTTGTCATAAGAACCCAAGTATTCAAAAACAGAGTTTTCGAGCTTGTATAATATTATGGTAGAAAATTCCGAAAATCATAACCTGCTGCAGGACGAATAATAGGTATCAATAGATCGCAGTGCGACATTTATTAAAAATGTGTAGTTTAAGTACGACAAGACCACTCACCATTCGTCCCTCGGATCTGGCAACGATCTGTGCAGTGATATGAGATCACTGGCGTACTGATTGAACGCGTTATTCTTCCAGCCCTCGTCGACGAGCTTCCTGACGTCGGCCGTCAGGTTGGCGGCAACACGACCGGTTGCCCATTTCGCCGTACGATTTACGGCCCGTCGTCGGCCTCCCTGTTGGGCTGCGGTAGGACCCCCTCGCCGTTCTGGAGCCCCGCGGCGCCACCCTGGGATCGCCTCGACGACGTCCGGGCGCCGGGCTGCTGCTGGACGACCACCGGGGCGGCCGGTTGCTGTTCAACGCCGCCCTCCAGCGGGAACTCGTCATCCAGCAGCTGGTTGTCGGCGTCCATGTCGTCGGGGAGCCGCCGCTGCGCCGCGGCCACCGGTTGCTGTTGCTGATAGACGCCGGCCGCGGACGGGTCGTTGGACGCGGGCGTGATGCGCCTGTCTTCCATGAAGAGCAGCACGGTGACCGTCAGCCAGACGGTGCATCCGAGCACCAGGCCTTTGAGCAGTGCCGACTTGCGGCGGTAAAGGTACGACGCGATTTTCATCGTCGGTGATCGTGGTGACTTTTGCGACCGGTATTGGTGGTGCGGCTATAGTTCCGGTGCCTCGGCACTGTCGTTGTTTTTGTGGCAGTGGTGGTGGTGATAGTGGAGGCAGTCACGGGTCGGACGCTGACGGTGGTGCGGGCGTCGGGCGCGTTAACGTTGTAGTGACGGCGTTACGCGATACTAGCTATCAGTAACGACGTTGGAGGACGGACGATGACGGCAGTGGCGGTTGCGGCCGAGACGTACGCGGAAAGGTCGTAAGCGACTCCAACCGTGGTTGTTCCCTCATGACTGGCCTGCAAAAAACAAAAACTGTCATAAGTATTTACACTCCTGTGAATCGTTATTTGACGATGACTCACAATGAAACGTCATTATTAATTATTTATCGCTATGAGAAATTGAATAATAATTATTATTATAACATATTATATTATGTATACACAATAGTCTGTGGGAAGCAACAGTTATTGTCCGCAATATCTCATTGGATTAATCATTTGACCAGAGAACAGTAAACAATAAATGGTAAACAAAGATGAAGTTTGAACAAAGATTATCTCGATAAAAGTCTACTCAAAATAATATTATTCGTTAGTATTTGGTGATTTTAATTTTATTTTAATAAAACTAACTTTACGAATTTTAGCATTTTACTTTTTTTAATATAGGTTAATAATGGTTATCATATCATGTTGATTAAAAACACATTTTAATCGATCTGAGATTTTAAACGGTAAAATGCGCATAAGACACATAATATTAACATTAAAAATATATTAGTTATTATATAAATATTTTTTTTTTGGAACACGTGTATACTATAATTATTAAAAAATCAATACAATGTCATGTTATCATGTTGTAAGATTTTTGATTTTAGAACTTCGATGTGACCTAATCAATAAATAAAAGTATATAATAATAATTTTATAAAAAACAGGAAGTAAGTTATTTTCTTTAATATTTCTATTATCGAACCGACGAAAGTGAATTCAGAGTTTTGGTTTACTAGTGGATTTTTGAAAGAGAAAAATTATGTGTACCGTAAGATACGGTACCGAGTTTTAAACTTTTTTTTTTCTATAGTCAAAACTAATTTCAAATCATTCGTATGTTCTCAGAGGTACTGCGCGGGTTCAAAGACTGATAGACGTATTTGCAGGGCGGAAGGATCGTTGAGATTTCATTAAAGGTTAATTCAACGGCGTACACATTTTTGGCCGAGGGACTCGCTACTAATGAGGTTCGAGACGTGATGGAACTTCGTCCCTTAAGGTTTTTTTCCTTTTCCCGTGCAGTGTTTCATAACGCTTTCTGGGATTTCAATGACGTGGAGATATTTCGGCAGGACTATAAGATGTCCTATTGCTTTCATTGAACGGTTTATATATACTCGTCGAACGTAACACGATTTTTCCGGGCGTCTGCTGTAAGGCGTTTTTCTCCATTCATCAATTCGTAATGATTTCGCAATCGTTTACGTATTCAACCGGCGACGTTAGAACGTTGGACGTATATATAATATAATAAATGTGTAGTACTCGTCTCGTATCGACACATATAATATTATTACAGCAATAATATCAAGTATATTTTATTTTTTATATTTTTTTTAAATAAGATGTTCCTAGCCTTGGCTATCTACATCTATTGATGATTACAATGGTACAATTTTTAACAATTTTAACATGATAATTATTTAGAATAATAAAAATAGAATAGTTAGTAAGATATAAATTACTAACTAATATATACTATATGTACAATATTGAATATAATAATATAATAATAACATTGGTAGTAGTTACGCTGAGTCGTAGCTGACTATAATTAAGTAACAGTGACTGATACAATAATAATTAATAATAAAAGTATAATATAACATAATATAGAACTTACTGCTCAGATTGAGATGAAACAGTTATAAATTATTATTTTTTATGATTTACTGTATATACACGCCAACTGAGCGAATATCGTCACAATAATGATGTTATATAAAAGCACGAATGTGTCACCGTCCTAAATGATTTATATGAAGCCACAATATAGAGTCTCACGCGTGCGATCGTCATAAGTGAAAACTGTGTTTGACCTGGTGTTATTTTGTTGTTATTGTTATTATTAATATAACTGTTTTTCCGCAGCAAACGCGCACTTGAGACGTCGGGGATAGACTAATTATAATATATATATAATACCAAAATCAATTTTTTTGCTGCAAATCTTCAATCTAGTGATGAAAAACGTAACACGCGGCATCCGTAATTTTTGAATCGATAAACCAAACTATTAGCAGATTTACCTTCTGCGGAATAACTCACTATAATTTTGGCACAAAATAATACGCACAGCTAAGTCGCGTAATCCTGATGTTACCTATACCAAACAGCTAAATGTTGGATTACATTACTATTTCATTTTAGAAGGTCCGAAAAAAATAAATACAATGAAAGTTACATGACTTAAAAGCTTTGAACACTTATTCGACTTCAGACAAACTTTTATCGAATTAAACAAAACAAGAAAAAAAAAACAATATATTGGACAAAGTTTGAACCACGGTGGTTGTTATATTATTATTAGCTATCATGTAGGTAGTAAATAACAAGATTAAAAACTAAAAATATTAATTTAAAAATTAATGAATTTAATTGGTACCTACATAATGTATAATAATTTAAATAGGTATATAATACAAGTTAATTTTTAACGTTGTGCGTGTAATATCATAATTTTTATTTTAGACAAAATAATTAAATCTTATGAAGACCAAAAAAACTTTTATCCTTTTACTGTTAACTAACGACCTTACTTTTATATTTTTTTATAAGAATTCGTGTTGTATACTATTATTTTGATGTATTAAATGTCTAATAAAAAATATTTTTCAAAATAATGGCTATAAAAAATGGTAATGGAAACAAAAGACTAATTAAATTTTCTTAGCTTACGAAAATTAATATTTTCAATAATATGGGTAATTTTTCAATTTTTGTCCCTAATAATTATAACGTATACCTAATATATGTTTTCTTTTATCTCCCATTGTATTATTTATTAGTAATTATTTTAATTATAGAAATATAAAACCAAGATTTACCTTATTTCACTGATGATTGACGAAAACTGATCAATAGACAATAATAATCGTCCGTCAACCTGATGAACATCATTGAACATTTTATATAATATATACCTACATTAATTTAGATAATTTTTATATCATAACCAATTACGATTTCTACATGAAAAAACCTTCCACATATGAAATCAGAGTATACTATAACGTACATAATAAAATTACCACACCAGAAACAGTACAAACTACAAATGGATTTTAATCAAACGTTTTAGCACACACAAAATCATCACATTATCACAATTACCAATAAAATCAATTATTAAATTGATTTATAAATATTATATTTTGTGATACTCTTATGAAATAGAAAAAAAAATACGGCCAATGTGGGGGGGGGGGGTTAAACCCCATGAATCCCTTCCCCCGTGAGTACACCACTGTATACAAATTATATAAGTGTTCCGATATAATGAGCGTTATGTAGATTCATATTATAATAGTATAACCATAATATGCTATATTATGCATTATTATAAAGCATGACCGATATTATAGATATCCGATGTTTTTAAATAGGTAATTATATTGAATAGGGTGATTTTTTTTTAACATAACTGATTTTTTATTTCAATAGCTATTAAAGTTTTTGAAAAAAAATTCATTCATCAATTATTAAAAATAACATTTTTTAAAAAGGATTATTTTTACTACTTCTTATCATTATTATTTAAATAATTCTTAAATTTTTGGAATAATATTATTTTTGTAGTATAATTTTGATTTACAGAAATCGTTTTATAATTATTTTAAAGTTTAAATGAGCAGAGTGAAGCGACATAATTTTCGTATTTTTAATGAATTCGAATTATGTTAAATATAGTTTTCAAAAATGTTAAATAGTTCAAAATATTGAGTTTTTACATTGAAACCAATCATTCTATTTAAGTTCTGCACAAATTTTTCAAATTGTTTCATCACATATTAAATTGCCACTGTGACAATGTACATATGTTGGAAACATTTACTCATCGTACACATCTAAATCGTCAGCGGTAATTGCAGGTAGGCTGCTGCTCCCCACTTTATTACATGTCTTAAACGTTTTGCGAATCACAAACCTATGAAAAGGTTACGTGGTTCATAAATGACCATAAATTACTACATAACAAATATATTATAGATGACCATAACGATTAAAACAGATAATAACGGTTCGTCAAAAACGTGATCGGTTTTGACATTGACGTGGTAAGTAAGTATAGTAGGTACTACATGTTTAAAAAAAAAAAATTAAAATTAAAAACAAAAAAAGTAATTAATTTTATCAAAATTACATGCGTTTATAATTTATAATAGTAGGTACCAACATTTTAAATTTAAATCATATTTTAGACTTAAAAATGATTGCTCAATATATTTATATACCTATTATACTTTATAATATGTGCATGTAAATGTATCTTAATTTATTTTTATCGCGCTGAACGCGAAGAGTTAACTTCCAAAATAAGTTAATTAAACACGATTTCGATGTAATAGAATTATGATTATTGTATAAAATACGCCTGTATGCACACGCTTAAGGATCAGTATGCGTCTTCAAAAGTCGAATGTCTGGTCGTCACAGTTATACGAAGGAGAATGTTATCCTTTTCTATTTTCCTGCAATACACACGTATCACACAAATATACACGTATAAATATAATACACGTATTAAATACATTAAACAGTTTATAGTTTTTGATCATTGTTTTATATGTATTATGCTCGTGTGTATTATATTATGAGCGACCGTGAAACGGAAAGACAGCGTTTCGAGATTTGCGTAGGTAGTCGGCGTGTTTGTTACGATAGTATTATTGTATATTATATAAGAATTATTGCTATCGCTCATATACATAGGTACTA